TGTATTAAAAGGAGTAAAACAAAACACGTGTATTTTTTTTACAGCCCGATTGGCTATTTTTAAGTATTAAAAAATGTTGAAAAATATAAAATTTTAATATTCAAATGTTAAAATGTTAAAATGTTAAAATGTTAAAATGTTAAAATGTTTAAATGTTAAAATGTTTAAATGTTTAAATGTTAAAATGTTTAAATGTTAAAATGTTTAAATGTTTAAATATTTAAATAAAAAAAAAATAATTATCAAAAAGTGAAATCAGTAAGGAAGCATATATTTATATATATTCTTAACTCTGACTTTTTATTTATATTCTAAAAAAAACATTTGCTTTAACTGCTCATTTTATTTTATTATAAATGATCAGTTTTAATGACAATAAACAAAATTATTATTTTAAGATGACATGCTTTTCCTACATAAAAAAAAAAAAAAAAAAAAAAAAAAAAAAAAAAAAAAAAAAAAAAAACAAAAAAAAAAACGAAATAACGAAATAACGAAAAAAGCACATACATAAAAACGTATATATACTAACATTTGCTATGTAAAATAAAAATAAAAACTGATAAAATAATACATTAAAGTCAGTATATAAATTGCAATAGTATATTGGTGTTATATACAGAGGTTAATATGTGAGATTTATACTTTACTATGTTTTTTTTTAACACGACAATTTGAATATATATATATATATATATATATTTTTATGTAAGGGTTTGATTATGTTGTTTATAAATTTATACAATTTGGCAATATATATATATATATATATATACGTATGTACTTATGAACATGTTATATTATTTAAGTAATATAATTGGTTTACTATAAAACATATATTCTTGCTTTTAAATATTTTATCTCTTCCTTTCCCACCACATTTATATATATATATATATATATATTTGAGGCAAAAAAAAAAAAAAAAACTCGCTATTTACTCTTACATTTCCATATAAAAAAAATTTGAATAAAACAACACGTATATAGTCACATGTAGTTACGCATGTATGTAAGCTATGCTATATAAGCTGTATCTATTTTTTTTTTTTTTTTTTTTTTTTTTTATAATAAATGAACTTAACCATTTGTATAAATAAGGGGATATATAATAAGTTAAATTGAGTAATCAGTATCCTATAACAATTAAAAAAAAAAAAAAAAAAAAAAAAAAAAAAATAGCTAAATAATAAGGTATTAAAGTGGCCATTATAAATTTGAATATGATGTATGTCATTGACATCAATTTATCTTTTATTTTGTAATGTTGTTTTTATTGCTGAGTGGTACAATTTCTGCATGGAAAAAACCACATAGTAAAAAGTTTGACATCATATATAATCACGACGAATACTTAGTCAAGATCATTGCTATAGTATTTTGTATGTTTAAAAGTTACAAAGTAACAGATGATGAAAAAGTGATGATGAACCGACTCAGCTCTAAAATGAATTTTTATTTCGATAGCAAACATTATCTTTTTAAGATTTTGTTAACGGTATCCGAAAAAATACATGATAATTTATTTTAACTTTGACAGATTTTTAATCTTCAAAGTTAAATAAATATAGAGCTTGTAGTCTGCTGAACTTTACCAATTTATTATATACCAAAAAAAAAAAAAAAAATAAAATAAAATAAAATAAAAAAAAATATATACAAATATAATAGTTATATTATACATTTTAAAAAAAAAAAAAATAAATATATATGAAAATTGATTTAAAAAAAAAAATAAAAGCACAAATATCAAACTTCTGTAATATATATATAAGCAAAAAAAAAAAAAAAAAAATTTAATTTAAGAATTATATAAATTAATAATTTGTTATGTAAAAAAATTAATTCTTGAAAATATTTTAAAAAGGCTTTAATCATATACATAAATTTTACTTTTAATAAAAAAATTTATATTAATGTTCCATTTTTTGTTTCATTAAGTACTTTTTTATTAAGTACTTTTGTAATTACGTTTATATGGTTCGTTTTTATTTATTGCAAAAAAAGGCAAAAAAAAGAATTTAATGCAAAAATATTCTCTATATTAATTACATAAAAAAAGGTGTTGCATTAGCAAAAAAAAAAAAAAATAAAAAAAGATATATATATATATACTGTATTATTATATTAATAAAAAAAAAAATTATATAATAAATTCATTTAATATAAAAGTTCTTTTTTTAATAAAAAATAATAAAAAAAGTTACAATGCTTTAAAAAATGTTTTAAGTACAAAAAAAAATAGGTATATATTGTTTATGACATTTTAAAGTTATAACAAAAATATATAATTTGCATTCTTATGTTGTCAATAGATGCTTAGCATTATATACGTTTTCTCAATATATATCATTTAAAAATTAAAAATAAGTTTTGTACACTTTTAAGACAAAAAAAAAAAAATAAAAACTTATTGTAACTAACAGTAATTTAACATTGTTTTTCATTTTTTTTTTAAAACATATTTAAATCAATTGCTTTTGTGTTTTAAAAATTATGTTGTTAAAAGGTTTTATATTTGGTTTGGAAAAAAATGAAAACTTTGAAAATATATGTGAAAGGTAGTTATGACATGATGATATTTTAAAAAATATATAATTTTTATTTTTTAAGTATATTTATTCAACTTAAAATATAAGTGAAGCAATAGTATAGAGTTTGAAGTTGCATATATATATATATATATGCAATATTCTTGGTAGTTTTTCTATAATATCGTTTATTTAATTCTTAATGTATTGCTGAAACGACCTTTTAAAATTTTTACTTAATTAAAATGTTTTTTTAAGAACATTGTTAAAAAAAAAAAATTTACCAAAAAAAACTTGAATAGCATTGTAACACTTTGTTTATATATTATGTTACATTTATTCTTTCTACACGTAAGCATATATCGAAAGTAATGTAGCTAAAAAGAGTGTAAACTAATTTTTATAGTTAATAAAAAAAAAAAAAAAAAAAGTTATGTATGTTTTTTTGCGTATAGTTATATGTATGTAAACATATTTTGATGACTTTTTTTTTTTTTTTTAATTATGAAACATCATATCAGTAAAAAGGAACGTGGGTATAATAATAAAAAAGGAAAAAAGGATATGTAGTAAAAAGCAAAAAAAAAAAAAAAAAAAAAAAATAATAATAATAATAAAATAAAACAGAACAAAGTAAAACAAAATAATAATAACGAATAAATCTGCCAGTAAACAAAAATTATCATAATTGATTTTATTCAATTAATATAAAAAAAAAAAATAAAATAAAAAAAAAAAAACTTTAGTTCCTATTTTACAAAATTTGTGAACACAGTTATTATACATTAAGATTTTACATTTCCCTAATGTGCCAAAATGTGAACTCGCAATTTATATTTATGTTTTATTTTTTTGTTTTTGTAAAAGTTTTATTATAGTAAAAATTTATAATTTAATATAAAAAAGTAAGTACATATATATTTGTATATATTAGTATATGAACAAAGTGGGACTTTATTAAGTGTGTTTATGTACACATCACAATGACACTTAAAAAAATAAGTGATGTCCATTCATAATAATATATATGTATATATGTACATATGTATATATATATATATATATATATATATGAATACGCTTATGCTTGTATGCTTTTGTGTGAATATAGTATGAGCACGAGGTAGAATAAAAAACGTGCTCTAAGAAATTATACAATAATTAAGTTTACAACACACAAAATACTCTATATATGAAAACACTGTTTACAGTTAGATTTATATTAACGTTTTTATTTTGCTATAATAAATATATAATAAGAACGTATAAGATATATGAAAATGTAAAAATATGTAGACAAAATAATTTACAACATGTTACACTTACAAAAAAATCTAAAGTTGGAAATACTAAACGGGCAATGTGGAATGCAGTGTTACTAAGTGATGATGTACAAATTGGAAATAAAATTGACAAAAATAAAATTGACAAAAATAAAATTGACAAAAATAAAATTGATGAAAATAAAATTGATGAAAATAAAATTGACAAAAATAAAATTGATGAAAATAAAATTGATGAAAATAAAAGTTATGCAAATATAAGTGATAAGAAAACGAGTAGTGATAAAACGAGTGATGGTAAGGTTCAACATAAGTACTTTTTTAGTCCAATAAAAAGTAATAACATTAAAGATATAAAAAGAAGATTAAGAATAAGTAATAAAAATTATAATTCAAAAAAAACAAATTATATTTTAAAAAAAAAGGATATTCATAAATCGTTAATTAATGATATTAATAAAGAAAATATAAAAGAAGAGTTACAAAATATAGGACAAAATAAAATAAAAGAAAATGCATTATTACCTTTACCATTAGATAATAAAAATGCAGAAGGTTATAATTGTTTATTATTATGTAAAGGTATACCATTTCATGCGACACGTTCACAGATTGAATATTTTTTTAAACCATATAAACTAATATATAAATATATTATTTTTATAAATGATAAAAATGGTCACTTTTTTGGTGATATAATTGTAAGGTTTATAAATAATGAACAAAAAAAATTAGCATTACAAAACAAAAATTATAAATTCTTATTACATAGATATATACAATTATTTAACATAAATGAAGAATATTATGAAGAATATTTTAATATAGGTTATAAGAACCCTCCATTATATAAAAATTATGTACCTATTAAAAATATAATAGTTTCTAATCCATTAGAAAGTTATACAGATAGTGTTAACAATATTGACATAGTTGAAGATATTGTTGGTAGTGTTGGTCGTAGCAGTAATAGTAACTCGTCCATTATAAATAACAACAATACTGATGATAAAGATACAAAAGAGCTTCGAGAAAAGGTCAATTGTAATGGTATATTGTTAAAAACGTTATATACTGGTAAACGGCTAAAAGGAAGAATTACATCCGTGCATTCTTATGGTGTTTTTGTTGACTGTAATGTATATATAAAAAGCGTTAATAACAAATATATTAAAATTTTAGCTTTATTGCATAAAAATAAATTAACTATAAATGTAGGTTTACCTTTTGATCCAATAAATGAACAGGAAAAAAAAGAATTAATTTTAAAAAAAAATATGAACATTATTGTATATGTTGACAAAATTATAGATCGAAATAAAAACTTATATGTTCCAGATAGCGTCCTTAATTTTGGAAAGGATACTACTACGAGTAGTGGTGATGGTAGTAATAGTAACAACAATAGAAATAACTTAATTTTTTTTAATCTTACTTTAGATTCTTCTATCACAAAAGAAAAAATTGATTGGCTACAAAAAGCAAAAATAAAGCGACAATTAACACTAAATATAAAAAATAATAACTATGAAACAAAAATTGCAAAAAATAAATTTTGTTTAACCCTTAATGGTAATACTAGAAAATGTGAAGCTGATTTAGAGAAAGTTGTAGAAATAAAAAATGACAATAATACTAAATATAACAAGCAGAGTGAAAATAATGCTAAAACAATCTCAAACTGTTATAATAACGATGGATGTGAATTGATCAAAGATAATAACAACTATCTGAGTGAAAAAAAAAAAGTAAATATTTTTAAAAAAATAAACTCAAAAGAGACAACAGTTGTAAAAGGTAAAATGGTAGTTAGTAATCGATCTAATAAGATTTATTTAATAAACAATTTAAAATACAAGCATAACTACATTGATCATAATGCCAATACAGTAAATAATAAAAAAAATGAACAAAAACGTATGAACAGAATAAATAGGAATACAGCAGAAAACAAAAAGAAAAAAGAAGAGAGTGTACTGCAAAAGCAAAATGTAAATATTAATACCGAGTCAACAGAAAATGGTATAAAAAAATTATTAAAAATAAAAAAACAAAAACAAAAACAAAAAAGTCAAAAATTAGTTGATAATATTTTACTTAATGAATACGAAAATTATGATGACAATTTTGGTGATAATTTTGATGATATTTTTTATGACAATACAAACGATACCATGATGGGAACGAACGAAGTAGCAGGTATTGAACCGACCCAACCAATTGAACCAGTTGAATTAAGCAAACGAAACGATCTAACTGGATTAATGGAACCAAATAAACATAACACTTATAACAATGTAACAAAAAATAAAGAAATGACAAAAGTTTATGATGATGAAGTTAATACAATTTTAAATGACATTTTTAGTGGCGCTGATAAAAAAAAAAAAAAATTTTTAAATAATATTATTAATAAACAAGAACTAGAAAATCAGAGAGATGGTAAAAAAGAAAAAGGGGAGTTATTATCGAATGTTTTGGAAGAGTTACCATGTAATAAAGGTAGTACTGTAAGTGATAGTACTGAGGACAACAGTTTGGAAAATAATAATATATGTACAATTTTGGAAAACCAGAACGATCGAAGAAAATGGACTAGTGATATTCGAAAAGAAGAATCATTATTTTATCAAAAACTTTTTGGATTAAAAATTGACATTAATGACTTTTACTCAGAGGATAAAAAAGAAAAAAATGTAAACAAAACAAATAATACTTTTTTAGAAAATATAGATAATGAAGAAAAAGAGAAGGAAAATGTTTTAAATTTCCCAATA